TATAGTTGTAGTTCATTTATTTCCATTGCTGGAATTTTTCCATTTGTCTGAATAAACTGCAATTTATTTATCTGTTCTATTACTAATGGGCACATGGGCTGTGTCCAGATTTTAATAATTATGAACAAGCTGCTGTAAACATTGGAGCACACAAGCATCCATTTGGGTTGGGTATACTTAAAAAAACTTCTGTGTAACTTCAGCTTAGTTGAATCAATGTCACTAGCTCAGTGTGAGTGTTCCAAATAGTCCATGTTCTTCCCAACACTTAGTATTATTAATCGTTTTAATTTGAGCTATTCTAATGGTTCATAGTGTTGTCTCATTGTGGTTTCCATTTGCATTTCCCTAGTGATGAATAAGGTTGAGTGCATTTTCATCTATTTATTAGGCATTTATGGATTAGGGATTTTGGCAACTCCTTACTCATCTGACTCGTACTGAACTTGGAGCCAAATGGAATAAAGTCTCTGACAAAGGATGCTGTTTAGTCATCTCTTCCCTATTGACTTCAATTGGATTTTGGGTTCCCAGAGAAGGTCCAAACATACTTAATAATAATAACAGCTAATATTTATTGAGTGCCTACTGTGTTCCAGGCGCTGAACTATGTGTTTGATATGCATAATGTCTCTTAATCTTCACATCCAGCTCATTAGGTTGAAACTATTATTGGTCTTTTACATAAGATGAAACTAAGGTGGGGGAGGGTAAGTACCTCACCTAAGGACTCACCACTAACAAGTAGATTCAAATGAATACCCTTAGCCACTATAACATATTGCCTCCCAAAGAAGGAAACACTTGACTATAATTTTTTTTTAAAAACTTTAAAAATGGTGAAAAGCTGAATTATAAAATGGACATGTAGCAGTCAAATGGAGAAAAACCATTGCAAAGTATGACATAGGATAAATGCTCTTAATGTGTGAAGTGTTTTTACAAATTAATAAAAGGACAAGCATCTCAATAGATAAACAAGATTATACTGTATAGCACAGGGAAATATATACAAGATCTTGCAGTAGCTCGTAGCGGGAAAAAAAAGGGACAATGAATATATGTATGTTCATGTATAACTGAAAAATTGTGCTCTACACTGGAATTTGACACAGCATTGTAAAATGACTATAACTCAATAAAAAAAAGTTAAAAAATTAAAAAAATTAAAAATGGTCAAAAGTTTCTTGGGTCAGGTAAACCTGGGAAATGCTGCATGAGTTTTTATGTTCTTCTACCCTTACAACATATATGAACACATTTATGACTCTGAGAAGTTCTGCACTAAAAACCTACTTTAAGATGGAATTTTTGGCTTTGATTAAAACAGACTTTAGCATCCTGGCTAATTATAATTTTTTGGAACAGATTTTGAATTCTCTAATAACCACTGCTTCCCCTGGTTTCTAGTCTGGTAAAACTTTCAACAAAGGAAATGGAATTAGTTTTGTCCACGCTTTCTCAACCTTGATGCTACTGACATTTAGGGCTGGATAATTCTTTGTTGCAGAGGCCGTCTTAGGCATTTTAAGGTGTTCAACAGCAACCTTGGCCTCCACCAAGTAGGTGCCAAATGTCAGTAACACCTTCCCCACCCCCAGTCATGACAACTGAAATTGCCTCTGGACATGGCCAAATACCCCCTGGGGGAAGAATCCCACCCACCCCCTTAAGAATCACCCGTCCAGGCTTACTGGTTTCTTAAGAACTCATGGTGTGCTGCATGGTTACCTCCTGACTATTCAAGTGCTCCCCAAGCATTTCATATAGTTTGATGTCTGTGCCTTGTGACATTCACTATTCTTTCTTCTTTTTTTTAATGCAAGAGAGTATTGGTACATCTCTTGCCTTCAAGTCTTTCCTGTTTATTGGAATTCCTTAAATCTCCAAGCACACCAAACCACGTAGTACCCCTGTCGTGGAACTTCTTTCCATCTTTCCAACCCCTGGGTGGAATTAAGCTTCTTCCTTCAATTTCCAAATACCCTGCACAGCCTTCTACCAGCCCCTACTCCCAGCACATATTATACTTATCTATTTATATGGCTGTGTCCCCAGTTCCTTAAGAGCAGGAATTGGGTCCTAGTCATCCTCTGATTCTCAAAACAGAGTAGGCACCGATTAATAGGTATGAACAAAGAGGCAAAATATAGTTGTGGAGGGGTCAAAAATTTCAATCATGGGGTCCTGGATGTATTTCCAGTAAGACTGAGTTAATTGACAGTCTCTTTACCAGTTTCTTCCTAGAACATTTCTCTCCAGACAGACTTCGTTCCTTCTGGAAAGAAGGCAGAAGTACTGTAGACGGTATCAATTTTGTCTCCCCCTCTTTCAGCCATGAATATGACATCATCTGCTCAGTTGGTATGTCCAGGCTGTTCCTGATACTTTTCTCATTCAAAACAGAAGGAGAAAAGCCCTCTTCCCTTGATCTCAGCATTTTTGTAAACCTCAGTTTATTCCAACCGGTAACACTTTTTATCCTTGGAGATGTGTCCTCCCTTTCAAGTTTTGGGAATCCCTTTTGGGCCTGAGCTTCTCAGAGGCACCCCTCCCTCAAGCATTGCGTCAGTCTCTTTAAGTATTTCCTTCTTTTTGTTTCCTGTCTGGAATTATTTTAAGATTTAGAAACAGAATTTAACTCTTGGGAATCCTCTAACTTTACCAGAGCTGTCCAAAATTGTGGCAGTGAAAGAAAGGGACGGGTTTGAGAAACATTAACAAAGGGCAAGTGACAAGACTTGATGACCATTGGGATATGGGGGATGGGAGATGATTTCTGCCCAGATTTCTGTTTCAAGACAACGGAGGGACTGGTGGTTCCTGCTGTAGAGATGGTCACAGGAAGAGAAGGAGGATGGAGATGAGGAAGGGGAGCAAGCTGTTTGAAAAGAAAACGGGCATGGTTTGGGGTGTTGAGAGTCTGAGGTTTCCACAGGGGATGCAGTGGAGATGGCGAAGAGGTACCTGGATGTAAGAGCCTGATGCTCTGGATAGGAGATGCGACTTGGGGGCTGTTAGTGTGTCGATAGGAGCTGTATCTGAGAGAGTAGATGAGCACTCAGATGGTGTGTGCTGATGAAATAGACGTGGCTAAAGATGGGGCAGGAAGGACAGCACTTGAAGGAGGGGTCAGAGAGAGAGCAAGAGAGCCAGGAGAGGGGCATGAATTTGAGTCCACTGGAGAAAGAGTTTCAGAGCAGAAAGACGGCCAGAAGCTTTAAATGATATAGAGAGGTCAATTCAGATATGGACAAAGTGCCTGCTGAATTAGAAGGGGAGGATCATTGGGGACCTTGGGGAGAAGAGCAGCCTCAGCAGAGTAGAGGGGGCTGTAGCCAGATGACAGTGGGTGGAGGAGGGGTTAGGAGGAGAGGCAGTGGGAAACAGACATAGGGTGGCACCTGAAGAGAGATTCATTCATTCATTCACTCAACTAACAAACTGAGGGGCTATGGTGCACCAAGGACCATTCTGAGACATGGGTACAGTACAGGGCAAACAGGTAAAAATCTCTGCCCTCACAATGTGTACCTTTTAGAGAGAGGTAGTATGGAGGGAAGGTTTTTTAAGATTTATTTTTTCTTCCAGTTTTATTGAGGTATAATTGACAGAGATTCATTTTAAAGATGGTTATAAGAAGTATCATCATTTGCCAGGTGAGGAGGCCAAGAGAAGTTAGACAGTAACTTGCTCCAATTCACACAAGTGTCTGAGCTGGGGTCATGCCCTGACTTGTCTGACCCTTTCCATTCTGTGCTGCTTGAGGGGGATGGAGTTTAGGTGGGAAGAGGTGATACAGAAGGCATAATGAAGGGGAAGAACAAAGGTACAGGGTGCAGGGTTATTTATGGCTGGACTGGGCTACACAATGCAAGGTTTCTACTGGTTCCTGCAGTCCTTCATCTAGGACCCCGTGTTGGGCCACGTGTTTGGGCTCAGGTCCCTCCAATGGGGATGGAAGGCACTGAGATCCACATGTTCTCACACAGTTCTACTTGAATGAGAAGCTTGAGAGGTGGTCTGTGGAAGCGCCCACCCCCACCCACCTTATTTAGAGGTAAATCTCCAGAAGCTCAAGCACTGATCAATATCCTTTCATGAAATCTATATAGAGATGCTGGAAAAAGTCCTTCTTCCTCTGGGGCAGTGATCTTAGGGACCAGAGTGGGCCACCCACAGCCATCTATCTTGACTATCTGAAGAAAACACCAAGTAGGGAAAAACAGAGATGAGCTGATGATGTCATTTGAGCTCCTGGACCCAGCTCTGCCTGAAGCTATCAGGAACCATCCCATATTCTTTTTCACCTATGACTGAAGCATTATGCGTACACCAGAAACTGACACAACATTGTAAACTGACTATACTTCAATTAAAAAATACATATGTACAACAACAACAAAATAGAACTACCCTAGACTTCCTGATGCTGGAACCAACAAATTACCTTTTGCCCCTCCATTTGAGTTGAGTTTCTACACTTGCAACTGCAAGAATCTGATCAGCATAGTTTGTCATAATACATCAGCTGTGACTATGTAAAATATGTTATTTACTTTTAGGGAAACTAACTGCCCCTGGGGCTTCCTCCACGGAGCCCTGTGCAGTCACCACCTTCTAAGTGCTAACCCTGCTGGTGATAAAGAGGTAAGTAAGACATGAGCTTACACATAGCTGTGGTGATGATGGGGGGAACAAAAGCATCACCATCTACAAAATGCTTTCCATCCATTTCTCTGAATCCACAATCACAGGAACCAATTAGCTAGTAATTCCAGGTAGGGTTTGGTAAATGCAGACTGAGCTGGAGAGATGTTCCATGGGAGCTCAGAGAAAGGGGGGTAGTGGAGGGGAGGGAGTGAATTTGGGGCTCCTCTCACATTCTGTTCTGGGAGGCTGGGCTAATGTGGGGTGGTAAAGGATGCAGGGAGAGGGGGACAGGTAGCCTGGGGAAGCTGTGTGAGTATTACTGAGAGCATAAGTGCTGCTTCTCATACCTTTCCCATTCCGGCGTGGGCGTGTCCCAGCTTGACCACCACAGGGAAGTGTGGGGCTGTGAGCTGAAAGAGACAAGAGGATATCACTCATTAGCATCCCAGAGCATCACCACCAAGACTTTGGGTACTGCTTATTTTGTACAAAGCTCCAGCCATCTGATTCACCAGGAATTTCCAACAAGAATGCTTTGACAGATGATTATCCTGCTGTGGCTTAAACACCCTAACTGCTGGTGCTTTCAGCTTCCAAAGGAAGCGCCAAGTTCTTAAAACCAGCCTGCCTGGGGTATCCACTAACCTGGGGAGACAGCTGAGCACAGCAAACCGACTGGTTTCAAATTCTGGCTTTACCACTTGTGCAACCTCAGACAAGCTACTCCATGGATCTGTGCTTCGGTGTCCTCATCTATAAAATGGGGACGAGGAGAATCCATCCCAAAGGGTTGCTGTGAGGATTAAATGAGTTCTTACATGTGAAGCCTTTACACTGTAAACACTCAGTGCAATATTCCTGTCTCGGTTCTGCCTTATGTTATTCCCCCTCAGCAACCTTCACATATCTGGAAACTCTCATTCCCTCCCCCAGCTCTCTCCAGGCCACCCCATGAGCCTTCTTTATAGCAGTGGTCTTGTCCATCACAGGCACAAGCATTCATGGGCTGCACTGTGTGGGCACTGTGCTGAGTGACTGCCCTGGATTATCTCCTTTAGAGAGAGATGGGGCAACAGCCTGGCCTGGTTGGTTCCCTGTTACATCCCCAGCTTCTAGAACCTGGCCCGGGGAAGGTGCTTGATATGGAATCTGTGCCTAATCAGGCCTCTGAGCAAGACCTATGAGGCATGCATGCCTCTTCCTATGATACAGAAGAGGAGAGGGGCTCAAGTGGTCAGGTGCTTGTCCATGCTCACACTCACTCAGCTAGGAAGTGAGGGAGCCAGATTCGAACCTAGGCTGTACATTTCCTCCTCATGCTGTTCAAATTTTGCCTGAGATGTATTTGCTCGGTGTCTAGAAGTATATTGGGAGTTGCCTGAATGCAAAAGTTATCCTTTCCCATTATTTAGTAATACTCTTATTTTCCGAACTTGGAGAAGCCCCTGCTAGAGGTAATCAAATCCCACTCTATGCCACACAGTTGTCTGTCCTGGTGCCTGTCCCTCCATCTTGGATTGTCGCCTGACACTCTGGACACTTTGAGAGGAGAATCCAGCTCTTGCCTCTTGGTGCCCAGTACCTAGTCTTACATGTAGGAATTGCTGTAGCCACTGCAGCAGGGTCTGCTGGGGTCACAAAGCCATTCAATGGACCTCATTTCATTTTACCCTCTCAGTAGCCCCATGAGGCAAGCAGGGAAGGTATTCTTATTACCATTTCACAGATAAGAGACCCGAAACTCAAGGCAGCTTCTGGGAAGGGGTGGAGCTGGGATGTCAACTTGGGTCTGTCAGACTCCAAGCTTGATGTGAATGGTTCCCTCTAAGATCTAGCACAAGGGCTTTCTGCAGTAGATGCTGAATAAAACATTTCCTCCCTGATTGCAGGCTAAAATTTATCATATCCTGGTGCCTAAAGTGAACAGATGTATCTTTAGAAAAAGGTAACATGTACTCACCAAAAGCAGTATGTACTCACTATAAAAGGTTTGGAAAATATAATGAAGTGCTATGTTGTTATGTATAAACAAGACAGTAGAAATCACCCTCAAGTTTTAACAGTTTTAGTGTATTATCTGCTGGTTTTGTTCTTTTAGTGGAAATTTTTTCTTATGATTTCTTCTGCTCTTACAAAATTGAGAGTATAGTGCATACCCAATTTTGCTTCTTGCTCTTCCCACTTAATGTAGTAAGTGGTAAGCATGTTCCTGGTGGTGATTATTTGTCAGCTTAAGAGTTGTTATCTAATATTTCACATATGAAAAAATACTTAAAGAGCAATATTGTGGACATCACTTAGTTTAAGAAATGAATGATTATCCAAGCAGTTGAAGCCCGTGATGTACTTTTTTCTTATCACATTTTCTTCCCTCCCATCCCAGAGGTAACCATTATATAAATTCTGTGTTTATTATTCCCCTGTGTTTATTAATATTCTAACTATTACATATGATTCCCAATCAATATACATTACACATTTTAAAACGTCATGTAAGTGGCATCAAAAGAATCTAGTACAACTTTTGGGTACGTTATGTTTGTGAGATTCATGTATATTGATATGTAGCTCAGATTCATTTTTACTACTGCCAAGTATTCCATTTATGAACTCATTACCATTTGTTCATTTTCTGCTGATGATTTCTATTTTTCCAATTATAAACAAGCAGGGGAGTTTCTCCAGGGCACACGCACAGGAGTGGAATTGCTGGGGCTGAGCTTTGTTAGATATGGCCAAATTGTTCTCCAAAGTGGCTGTACCCACTTACGCTCTCAGGGGCAGGAAAAGAGATCCCAACACTTGAGGCTGAAAAGACTTAAATTTTACCAACCCAAGGCATGTGAAGTGGAATGAATGGCTGCATTGTCACCAGTGGCTGCTGTTCTCAGCAGAATCATCCGTCGGACCTGCCATTCACTCACAGACCTTAGACACACCCCGCAGTCCAAGAACTGCCCAGGCCACTGTGGGGCTTCATCTCCATCTCACTTTAAGGTAGAGCATGAAGTGAGGGGAAATGGGTATGTTCTCTTGTCCTCTCACTCCTCCCAGCCTGATCATTTCCCCATATACTGACAGGTACTGGAGAGAACTGGATGTCAGAGTTACACTTAATCTTTGTTTAATCATGGACCAGATATTTAACCTCTATGAACCTATTATTAGTTCCATAATCTGCAAGATGGAGACAATAATGCCCAACTCACAGGACTGTTGGGGGAAGAAGAAATAAAGAACGTAAAACTGCTTAGTGCCAAGTGGAGGTTCAAAATCAAAATGTGAAGTAGAATTGAGGAGAGGAAGGAGATAGTCCTGGCTTTGTGGGGTGAGGAGAGAAATAAAGGAAGGCTGGATGATGAAGGAAGGAGAACAGAGGCTCCAGCTTGGCAGTATCTGATTGATAGTATGAGAGGGAATGAAATTAAGTACAACAAAGGAAAATCAGGGGGCTACACCAGAGGGAGGAATGAGAGGTGATTAAAATTTGATAATTTTAATCTGTAAGAACCTTAGCAATAATCTTGCCTATTTCCCCATGTTCCCATGCTGTGGTATGTAGAATTTCTAGGAAGCTCCCACAGATGCCCCCCTCTAATCTCTGAAGCCTCTAGATGTGATGAAATTGTCACACAATGTCATACAATGATTGTTCTGTTATATGCACAGGTGACCTTAAAATAGGGAGATTATTTTAATCAAATCACATGAGCCCTTAAAAGCAGAGCACTTTTTCAGGCTGGTGGCAGAAGAGGAAGTCAGAGAGATCCAAAGCATGAGAAAGACTGAACACATATTTCTACTTTGAGATGGGGCAGCCACATAAGAAGGAATGCGGGCAGCCTCCAGGAGCTGAAGGTGGCCCCTGGCTGATAGCCAATAAGGAAATGGAGACCTCAGACCTACAGCTGCAAAGAACTGAATTCTGTCAATAACAAGAATGAACTGGGGAGAGAATCCTGGGCTCCAGCAGGAGAATGCGGCATGCTGGCATACTGATTTCAGATGGATGAAACCCTAAGTAGAGTAGTTGTGCCATCCCAGACTTCTGGTTTACAAAACTGAGATAATAAAGAGGTGTTCTTTTAAGCTGCTAAATTTGTTAGAGCAGCAAATGTCCTCCTAGGTACTGAAGCCCAGAGAGTGAAGTGATTGTTTTCATGCCACACAACAGCAGAATTAGAGTCAAACTCACATGTTTTGACTCTTTTAATCAAGCTCTCACTCTACCAAGGCACACTTCCCCAAAATGGCTCTTTTCACTTAATATCACACCGTGTTGGGAAGGGATAAATTTGGGAGTTTGAGATTTACAAATATTAGCCACTACATATAAAAACAGATTTTAAAAAAAGTTTCTTCAGTATAGCAAAGGGAACTATGTTCAGTATCTTGTAATAACCTTTACTGAAAAAGAATATGAAAATAAACATAGGTATGTATAAGCATGACTGGGACATTGTGCTGTACACCAGAAATTGACAAATTATAATTGACTGTACTTTTAAATCATACCATGTGCACCCTCTCCCCATGTCAGTAGGAACACTACTGACCTAGTTGTTTTAATAGCTTCACAGTATTCCACAGGACACATGGGCTGCAATTCTTTGGCCATTTTCCTATAATGGACGTTTGTGTCATTTTTTCTCTTTCTCTCTCTCTCTTTCTCTGCGAGCAAGACCACTGAATATTTTTGTACAAATGTGCTTGTAAGCTAGTGTCTTAATTTCTAGTGGCCAGGCCAAGAGCTTTTCAAGGGGAGGACCAGCAGAATTTGGAGATACTCTGATAGGTTTCCAAAGTCATTTGTTAGCACTCAAGAAATAAATGTGGGTGCCATGGTACTGTACACTGTCCACCTACCACATGCCTCCTAGGCTACTAACAACTACATTTATTGAGTGCCTTGTAAGGGCCAGGGATGGTTCTAGGCACTTTATATATGTTAGCATTCGTCTCTTCCCCCATGTGATAGATAAGAAATCAGAGGCAAGACATTTGACCAAGGTCAGGCAGTTAAGACATGGAGGAGCATCTCCACTGCCACCCAGGCTTTCTCCTCATCCCTTCCCTTTCCCTTTCCAAGCTGTTCAATTGGGTTTCAAAGGCCATTCTCATTTCCACTCATTTGCAACATGCCAGTCCCTCCCCAAACACAGACAGGTCACAGAGGACAAAAAACATCTTGTCGGCTATTTTCTCTCTTCCCTTCCCAACAATAGCTTTATTTAGTTCCCCTGGGGATGGCGGGGCCTGCACCAGTCTCTCACGGGCTCCCTGTCCCCGCTCACATGCCCCCGGGTGCTCCAGAGTTCAGCACTGACCAATGGCATGAGAGGCCTCACATCCTGTTAGAAGGGTCAGATCAATTTTTGAAACCAGAGATCCCCACCCTGATAAGGGCCCT